GTGGGTGGGTGGGTGGGTGAGTGGGTGGGTGGGTGAGTGGGTGAGTGGGTGAGTGGGTGGGTGGGTGGGTGAGTGGGTGAGTGGGTGGGTGGGTGGGTGAGTGAGTGAGTGGGTGGGTGAGTGAGTGGGTGGGTGAGTGAGTGGGTGGGTGAGTGAGTGGGTGGGTGAGTGAGTGGGTGGGTGAGTGGGTGGGTGAGTGAGTGGGTGGGTGAGTGAGTGGGTGGGTGAGTGAGTGGGTGGGTGAGTGAGTGGGTGGGTGAGTGAGTGGGTGGGTGAGTGAGTGGGTGAGTGAGTGAGTGGGTGAGTGAGTGGGTGAGTGAGTGGGTGAGTGAGTGGGTGGGTGGATGAGTGAGTGGGTGGATGAGCCAGTCAATAATTGAGTGGTGGATGAGATGGTGAGCGAGTTGGTGTGTAACTCATGTGGTTCGTGGATGAATGAGTGATGTATTGAGTGGGTGACTGAATTAGTGGGTAAGTGAATGAGTGTGTTTGTGTGGGCTTTCATATGTGCTGCTATTTTGTAACAGCATACACCTCAACAGTCCGTGTGGGCTACACGGGGGATCTTTGTATTTGTTGTATATATTTGCATGTGTGTGTGTGTGCTTTTTACACACATACAGATAGAATGCATTTCACACACACACACAGATAGAATGTGAAACAACTGTGGACACTTTACAGACAACAGAGATCCGGGTCCAACCAGAGCTGAGTGGGTGGGTGAGTGGGTGGGTGAGTGGGTGGGTGAGTGGGTGAGTGAGTGGGTGAGTGAGTGGGTGAGTGAGTGGGTGAGTGAGTGGGTGAGTGGGTGAGTGGGTGGGTGAGTGGGGAGTGGGTGGGTGAGTGGGTGGGTGAGTGGGTGGGTGGGTGAGTGGGTGGGTGAGTGGGTGGGTGAGTGGGTGGGTGGGTGAGTGGGTGGGTGGATGAGTGGGTGGGTGGGTGGGTGAGTGGGTGGGTGGGTGAGTGGGTGGGTGGGTGAGTGAGTGGGTGGGTGAGTGAGTGGGTGAGTGGTTGGGTGAGTGGTTGGGTGAGTGGTTGGGTGAGTGGTTGGGTGAGTGAATGGTTGAGTGAGTGATTGGGTGAGTGAGTGGGTGAGTGAGTGGGTGAGTGAGTGGGTGAGTGAGTGGGTGAGTGAGTGGGTGAGTGAGTGAGTGGTTGAGTGAGCGAGTGTGTAAGTGAGTGGTTGAGTGAGTAGGTGGGTGAGTGATTGGGTGAGTGAGCGGGTGAGTGAGTGAGCGGGTGAGTGAGCGGGTGAGTGAGTGAGCGGGTGAGTGAGTGAGCGGGTGAGTGAGTGAGCTGGTGAGTGAGTGAGCGGGTGAGTGAGTGAGCGGGTGTGTGAGTGAGCGAGTGGGTGAGTGGTTGGGTGAGTGGTTGAGTGAGTGAGTGAGTGTGTGAGTGAGTGAGTGGGTGAGTGAGAGGTCGCACCGTACGCAGCCAACCGTGCGAATCGGAGGTGCGGGCGGGCAGGGCGGTGGAAGGACACCAAACTCAACGCACGAAAAACCCACGAGCATTCGCAGTGCAACGCAGAGCTCACGGCTTACACCATCAGCGGACATCTCTCCCGCTTCTCTCTCTCTCTCGTGTTCCACCCAACCGCACTGACCGGCGCGGGGAAGTATGGCTGGCACGACGCTGCATCCGCGCCAATGACGGATTTGATTGCTCGGCCCAGGGGACTACCCCCCCACACACACACACACACGGGCTGGCACGGTTGGCTAGGTACGGTGTGAAAGAAGTTCAACACACGTGTACACACACAGACTCCCAGACACCCACATACACCCAGACCCATAGAGACCCACAGACACTCATAGAAACCTACAGACACCCACAGAGACCCACAGACACACCCAGACACACATAGAGACCCCCAAACACCCACAGAGACCCACAGACACTCAGAGACCCACAGACACCCATAGAGACCCACAGATACACTCAGAGACCCACAGAGACCCACAGACACCCATAGAGACCCACAGACACCCATAGAGACCCACAGACACACTCAGAGACCCACAGACACCCATAGAGACCCACAGACACCCAGAGACCCACAGACACTCAGAGACCCACAGACACCCACAGAGACCCACAGAGACCCACAGACACCCACAGACACCCACAGAGACCCCCAGACACCCATAGAGACCCACAGACCCATAGAAACCCACAGAGACCCATAGAGACCCACAGACACCCATAGAGACCCACAGACACACAGCTACAGGTGAAGCTACACACACTCACACAGACTCAGATAAATACAAAGGACAAAGATCCCCTGTATAGCCTTAACAGACTGTAGGGGCAAGTGCTGTTAGCGAGCACCTATAAAGGCCGGCACGGTACACGAGGGGGTGGGTGGCCAGCATCACGCCCGACTGCCTTTGTCTCCCCAGTGGCGATGTTTACACACCGCACCAGGTACTCGTTTGAGGCTGAGTCGACCTAGCGCGCTAACCGCTACACCACTGCTCCCCCATCAGATACATACATACACACACAGATACAGACACGAATACGGCACACACACACACACTCCCACAAACAAATACACCCACACCGACACACAGACTCACCGATACACACACCTATATATACACACACAGATACATAACCTCACACGGATATACACACACACACAGACACACACAGACAGACACACAGACAGACACACAGACAGACACACACACAGACACACACACAGACACACACGGATATACACACACAAAGGCACACACACACACAGACACACACACAGACACACACACACAGACACACAGCTACACACAGACACACACACACAGACACACAGCTACACACAGACACACACACACAAAGGCACACACACACACACAGCTACACACACACACAGCTACACACACACACAGGCACACACTCTGGAGTGTGGTGCTAATGAGGGGTGGGTGTGGTTATCACCGCCATCACCATGGCGAGCAGGCGAGTCAATGCAAAGACCTTTGCTCACTGCACACACCTCACCCACACAGGTACACACACAAAGGTACACACACACAGGTACACACACACAGGTACACACAGGTACACACACATACACACACACAGGCACGCACACACACAGGTACAGAGACACAGGTACACACAGGTATACACACACACAGGTATACACACACACACAGGTACACACAGGTACAGAGACACAGGTACACACAGGTACACACACAGGTACACACACAGGTACACACACACAGGTACACACACAGATACACATACAGACACACACAGGTACACACACAGGTACAGAGACACAGGTACACACAGGTACACACACACAGGTACACACACACACAGGTACACACACAGGTACACACACAGGTACAGAGACACAGGTACACACAGGTACACACACATACACACACACAGGCACACAGGTACAGAGACACAGGTACACACAGGTATACACACACACAGGTATACACACACAGGTACAGAGACACAGGTACACACAGGTACACACAGGTACACACACACACAGGTACAGAGACACAGGTACACACAGGTATACACACACAGGTATACACACACACAGGTACACACACAGGTACAGAGACACAGGTACACACACAGGTACACACACAGGTACACACACAGGTACACACACGTACACACACAGGTACACACACAGATACACATACAGACACACACAGGTACACACACAGGTACAGAGACACAGGTACACACAGGTACACACACACAGGTACACACACACAGGTACACACACAGGTACAGAGACACAGGTACACACACAGGTACACACACATACACACACACAGGCACACAGGTACAGAGACACAGGTACACACAGGTATACACACACACAGGTATACACACACAGGTACAGAGACACAGGTACACACAGGTACACACAGGTACACACACAGGTACACACACACAGGTACACACACACAGGTACACACAGGTACACACAGGTACACACACACAGGTACACACACAGATACACATACAGACACACACAGGTACAGAGACACAGGTACACACACAGGTACACACACATACACACACAGGCACACACACAGATACACATACAGACACACACACACAGGTACAGACACACACAGGTACAGACACACACAGGTACAGGTACACACACAGGTACACACACAGGTACACACAGACACACACACAGGTACACACACACAGGTACACAGACACACACACAGGTACACACACACAGGTACACAGACACACACACAGGTACACACACACAGGTACACACACACAGGCACACAGACACACACACAGGTACACACACACAGGCACACAGGTACACACACACATGCACACAGGTACAAACACAGGCACACAGGTACACACACAGGCACACAGGTACACACACAGGCACACAGGTACACACACAGGCACACAGGTACACACACACACAGGCATAAACAGGTATACACACAGACACACACACAGATACACACACACACAGGTACACACAGACACACACACAGGTACACACAGGTACACACACACAGGTATACACAGGCACAGGTACACACACACAGGTATACACAGGCACAGGTACACACACAGGTACACACACAGGCACACACACACAGGTACACACACAGGCACACACACACAGGTACACACGCACAGGTACAGGTACACATAGGTACACACACACACAGGTACACACACACAGGTACACACACACACAGGTACACATACACACACACAGGTACACACACAGGCACACACAGGCACACAGGTACACACACACAGGTACACACACGTACACACACACAGAGGTACACACAGGTACACACAGAGGTACACGCACACAGGTACACACACAGGAGGGGGGGGAGGAGGAGGGGGGAGGAAGAGGGGGGATAGGGGGGGGGCTGAGGGGGAGAGTAGGAGGGGGGGACAACACCACGCCCGGCCGCCTTTGTCTCCCCGGGTGCGTGCGCACTCACCGATTAGACACGCCGAGAGGAGCAGCAGCAGAGAGGCGTTCATGGCGACTCTGAGGCGGGAAGCTGCGCCCAGTCTCCAGCGACTCGGTGTGAGACCCAGAGAGAGACACAGAGAGACACAGAGAGACAGAGATACAGGGACAGAGAGTCAGAGAGAGACACAGATAGATACAGAGACAGAGAGAGACCCAGAGAGACAGAGACACAGAGACAGAGAGACACAGGGACAGATAGACAGAGAGACTCAGAGAGACACAGAGACTCAGAGAGACAGAGACCCAGAGAGAGACCCAGAGAGACAGAGACCCAGAGAGAGACACAGAGACACAGAGAAGAGACAGAGAGACACAGAGACAGAGATACAGAGAGACTGAGACTGAGAGACAGAGACCCAGAGAGAGACTGAGAACCCTCACAGGGAGAGAGATCTACACCGAGAGAGAGAGAGATCTACACTAAAAGAGAGATCTACACTAAGAGAGAGATCTACACCGAGAGAGAGATCTACACTAAAGAGAGATCTCCACTAAGAGAGCTCTACACTAAGAGAGAGATCTACACCACTCAGAGAGATCTCCACCGAGAGAGAGATCTAGAGACTTGGAGAGAGAGAGAGATCTCCACTAAGAGAGAGATCTCCACTAACAGAGCGCGACTCTGAATCTCTCCCCTCCCCCACTATTCACTTGCCCCTCCCCCGCCCCCTTCGCCTCAACCCCGAGGTGACCTCATCCGCGTGACGTCACGGGCGCCGTGCAGCCACACCCGGGGGTGACGTCACCGGCAGGTGAGAGAAGGAGTGACGTCACCGTCAGGTGAGTGAGAGGAGATGACGTCACTGCCGGGATTAGGTTGTGCGACGTCACCGGCAGGTGAGAGAAGGGTGACGTCACCGGCAGGTGTTTGACGGAAGTGACGTCACCGGCAGGTGAGTGAGGGAAGTGACGTCACCGCCAGGCTGGAGAACAGGCGACGTCATCCACCAGGAGAGGATACAAGTATTACGTCACCCGCACGTTGGAGAGGTCGTGACGTCACCCGCCAAGTGAGCGAGATAAGTGACGTCACCACCCAGGTGAGATGTGCGTGACGTCACCGCCGGGTGACAGAAGAAGTGACGTCACCGACCGTGTAAGAGTGTGTACACTCAGCCTTGAACGAGTAACCTGGGCGTGGCGTGCGTAGCGAAACGTCGCCACTGGGGAGACAAAGGCGAACGGGCGTTACACCCACCCCCCTCTGGGCGTGCCACAGTGGCCGGTAGCCTTCATATGTAGCCTTCATAGGTAGCATATTCTTAGGTTTTTTTGGTAAAGTCACGTAGGTAAAAAACTTAAATTAATAAAATAAAACAAAATAAAAAATTTCGATTTAAAGTTTTCGTGACTGCAGGGATTCATCTGCTTGGTTCTTTCGGTAAAGTCACGTAGAAGGGAAATAATAAAATAATAAAAATAAAACATAATAAAATCAAATAATTATTTTATTACTTCCCTTCTACGTGACTTTACCGAAAGAACCAAGAAAATAAAAAATCATGACGTTTTTTTTTTACTTGATACAGCTGTCGTGGCTGTGACGGTTCCACCTGAAGACGGAAGCTTGTGTTGCCTCCGAAACGTCGTGATTTTTATTTTGTTTATTTTACTTTTATGAATTTTCATTTTTTTCCCGACGTGACTTTACCGAAAAAACCTAAGAGTATGAATCCTTGCAGTCACGAAAGCTTCACATCTAGAATTCATAGGTAGCCTTCATAGGCGCTGCTGCTGCTGCTACGAACAGCCTCTTGCCTCCTCAGTCTGTTGGAGGCCGTCCATAAATGACGTCACGCGATTTTGGACGATTTTTGACCCCCCATCTCGTCACTCGGCGTCATAAAATGCCAGACCCCCCCCCTCAAATATGACGTCACAAAGCCCTGCCCCCCCAAAAAAAGATAAAACATGCTTCAAATCGTATTCTTAGGTTTTTTCGGTAAAGTCACGTAGGTAAAAAATTTTAATTAATGAAAGTAAAATTAAAATAAAATTAAAAATCACGACGTTTCGGAGGCAACACAAGCCTCCGTCTTTAATTTTAATTTTCTACCTACGTGACTTTACCGAAAAAGCCTAAGAATATGAATCCTTGCAGTCACGAAAGCTTCAAATCTAGAATGAATACCCTCTACGGGGAGGAATTCCACCTATCTGTTAGAGTTTTTCATTTACTTGATACAGCTGTCGTGCTTTCGATTTAAAGCTTTCGTGACTGCAGGGATTCATCTTCTTGGTTCTTTCGGTAAAGTCACGTAGAATTGAAATAATAAAATAATAAAAATACAACTTAATAAAATACAATTCTCACGACGTTTCGGCCACAACGCAAGCAGCCGTCCTCAGGTGAAGAACAGGTCTGTCGAGAAGACAGAGTCAGACTGTCTTCTCGACAGACCTACAAGCTATGCTTACAGCTATGCTTGCGTTGTGGCCGAAATGTGAGAATTTTATTATGTTTTATTTATTTTATTATTTTATTATTTCCGTCGCAGCAATCGTGCTGTGATGGTTCCACCTGAAAATGGAAGCTTGTGTTGCCTCCGAAACGTCGTGATTTTTTATTTATTTTTATTTTACTTTAATTAATTTTAATTTTTTACCTACATGACTTTACTGAAAAAACCTAAGAATATGATTCCTTGCAGCCACGAAAGCTTCAAATCTGGAATGCTTCAAATCGCTTTAAACTATTGTCATTGTAGTGCGTATTTAATGCGGCGCTGCACTCTGATGTTGTAGGAGAAAACATTTATTAAAACGTATATTTAATTAAGTAGAACGTATTGTCTATATTCATTTAAAGTTGCGCATTTTTACGTGACGTCACATTTCTCAAACCCCCCCCCCCCCCCATCGTCACAAATGTCTGACCCCCCCCCACCCACCTAGGTGCGTGACGTCATTTATGGACGGCCCCCTACACAAATATATAAATAATAAGGCGTCCATACCAAATATAAATTGCTTTAAAGTAGCCATTTAATTTATTAATTGATGTCGATTTTGATACAGACGTCCACTGTCACCGGATCTGAGTACGCGTGGAAAATGTGGAATTGAGTGGACAACGGGAAATGGACGAAATTGTGATTGCAAGATTTGACCGCGACAAGCAGAGGAATCAACTTGTTGGTTCTTTCGGTAAAGTCTCGTAGAATGGAAATAATAAAATAATAAAAATAATACAATAAAATAATATGCTATATTATTTTATGTAGAATGGAAATAATAAAATAATAAAAAATAATTTAATTAAATAATATACTTTATTATTTAATGTTTTATTTTTATTATTTTATTATTTCCATTCTACGTGACTTTACCGAAAGAACCAAGAAGATGAATCCCTGCAGTCACGAAAGATTTAAATCAGAGGAATCAAGTTCAGTGAAACTGTTGGAAATAAAAGATCGATTTACGGGGAGACAAAGGCGGCCGGGCGTGCCACAGTGGCCGGTAGACTTCATAGGCGGGGCTGCCACTTACTAGGAACAACCTTTTTCGATTAAAAGCTTTCGTGACTGCAGGGATTCATAGGAACAGCCTCTTGCCACGTCAGTCTGTTGGGGGCTATAGCACGGGACGGGAGGGGTGGTGTGGGGTGTGGGGGTAGAGTGGTATGGGGGTGGTGTGGGGGTGGGGTGGTGTGGGGGTAGTGTGGGGGTGGAGTGGTGGTGTGGGGTGGTGGTGTGGGGTTGGTGTGGGGTGGGGGTAGTGTGGGGGTGGTGTGGGGTGGTGTGTGGGGTGGTGGTGTGGTGTGAAGTGTGGGGTGGTGTGTGGGGTGGTGGTGTGGGGTGGGGTGAAGTGTGGGGTGGTGTGTAGGGTGGTGTGGGGTGGTGTGGGGTGAAGTGTGGGGGGCACCTTCCCACGCCCTCTTCCGAGACCACATTCGCTTGGCGTGCACGGACCTTGGTGGTGGTGGTGCTGATGCTGTTGATGTTGATGATGATGTTGATGATGTTGATGGTGCTGTTGATGGTGCTGTTGGTGATTGATGATGCTGTTGCTGATGCTGTTGGTGAATGATGCCGATGCTGCTGATGATGCCGATGCTGCTGATGATAATGCTGCTGCTGATGATGTTAATGATGCTGATGCTGATGATGCTGATGATGACGCTAATGATGCTGATGATAATGCTGCTAGTTTAGATCTTAAGTTTTCGTGACTTCTTTCGGTAAAGTCACGTAGGTATAAAAACCGTTTTTTTTATAAAATTGTCCACTAAAGTAATTGTATTTCTTGCTGTGGTTTCCCCACCTGATGACGGAAGCTTGTGTTGCTTCCGAAACGTTGCGATTTAATTTATTTTGATTATTTTTAATTTAGAAAAATTGTTTTTATAAAAAAGTATTTTATTTTATTTTATACCTACGTGACTATACCGAAAGAACCTTAGAAGATAATGCTGCTGATGCTGATGATTCTGATGATGATGCCACTAATGCTGCTGGCGGTGGTGATGCTGCTGCTGCTGCAAAACGACCTCACTCGCACGACCTGCAGAGCACAATCCGTTTATTCAGCACGAACAAATACAGAAACGGACTCATAGACAATTACAGGTGTGTCCTTCTCTCTCTCTCTCACAAGTTCAAGATGGCTGTGACGGTGGGGTTCAAGATGGCCGTGTCGGTGGGGTTCAAGATGGCCGTGTCGGTGGGGTTCAAGATGGCCGTGTCAGTGGGGTTCAAGATGGCCGTGTCAGTGAGGTTCAAGATGGCCATGTCAGTGGGGTTCAAGATGGCCGTGTCAGTGGGGTTCAAGATGGCCGTGTCTGTGTGGTTCAAGATGGCCGTGTCGGTGGGGTTCAAGATGGCCGTGTCGGTGGGGTTCAAGATGGCCGTGTCGGTGGGGTTCAAGATGGCCGTGTCAGTGGGGTTCAAGATGGCCGTGACAGTGAGGTTCAAGATGGCCGTGTCAGTGGGGTTCAAGATGGCCGTGTCAGTGGGGTTCAAGATGGCTGTGTCGGTGAGGTTCAAGATGGCCGTGTCAGTGGGGTTCAAGATGGCCGTGATGGTGGGGTTCAAGATGGCCGTGTCAGTGGGGTTCAAGATGGCCGTGTCAGTGGGGTTCAAGATGGCCGTGTCGGTGGGGTTCAAGATGGCCGTGTCAGTGGGGTTCAAGATGGCCGTGTCGGTGAGGTTCAAGATGGCCGTGTCGGTGAGGTTCAAGATGGCCGTGTCGGTGGGGTTCAAGATGGTCGTGTCAGTGGGGTTCAAGATGGCCGTGTCAGTGGGGTTCAAGATGGCCGTGTCAGTGAGGTTCAAGATGGCCGTGACGGTGGGGTTCAAGATGGCCGTGTCGGTGGGGTTCAAGATGGCCGTGTCAGTGGGGTTCAAGATGGCCGTGTCAGTGGGGTTCAAGATGGCCGTGTCGGTGGGGTTCAAGATGGCCGTGACGGTGAGGTTCAAGATGGCTGTGTCAGTGGGGTTCAAGATGGCCGTGTCGGTGGGGTTCAAGATGGCCGTGTCAGTGGGGTTCAAGATGGCCGTGTCAGTGGGGTTCAAGATGGCCGTGTCAGTGGGGTTCAAGATGGCCGTGTCAGTGGGGTTCAAGATGGCCGTGTCAGTGGGGTTCAAGATGGCTGTGTCGGTGAGGTTCAAGATGGCCGTGTCGGTGAGGTTCAAGATGGCCGTGTCAGTGGGGTTCAAGATGGCCGTGTCGGTGGGGTTCAAGATGGCCGTGTCAGCTACACTGAGCCATCGCCAGGTGAGAGAGATGTGTCCAAAGTGAACAACTGTTTCATAATCATCTTGGCAAAATGTGCGCTTGTGTGTGTGTCCCTGTGTGTGTCTGTCTGTGTGTGTGTTCTTGTGTGTGTGTCTGTTTGTGCATGTGTACTTCTCTATATGTCTTTATGTCCGTGTGTGCTAGCCGCTAACAGCACTTGCCCCAATAGTATGTTAAAGCTATACGTGTGTGAGTGTGTATTTGTTTTGTGTGTATGTGTGTCTTTGTCTCTGTGTGTGTCTGTGTGTGTCTGTGGGTGTCTGTGTGTATGCATCCCTGTGTCTTTGTCTCTGTGTATCTGTGTGTGTCTTTGTGTGTCTGTGTGTTTGTATGTGTGTCATTGTCTCTGTGTGTCTGTGTGTCTGTGTGTTTGTTTGTGTGTATGTGTGTCTTTGTCTCTGTGTATCTGTGTGTGTCTGCGTGTTTGTATGTACGCGTAAATACACAACAACCAAAACACCATCAACACCATCACCACCTCCACTCTCATTCCCACCACCATCTCCACTGTCTCCATTTAAATCACATCTCATTACCACCGTCATCACCACCATCGTCATCATCATCATCACCACCATCATCACCACCAGCATTACCACCATCATCACCACCAGCATTACCAGCATCATCATCATCATCACCGTCACCACGATCATCACCGTCACCACGATCATCACCACCACCACCACCATCTCCACCATCGTCATCACCACCATCATCGCCACCATCATCACCACCAACATCAAACTCATCCAAATCATCGGCGAAATCCGGCACTGACTTCTTGGCCACCACATTGTCCAGCTTCTGCCCGGACAGATAGGGGTTGAGAAGCATCTGCCACAGAGAGAGACCGGGTGAGAGTGAGACACAGGGTGAGGTTGAGTGGCTGAGTGAGTGGCTGAGTGAGTGGGTGAGTGAGTGGGTCAGTGAGTGGGTGAATGAGTGGGTGAGTGAGTGGGTGAGTGAGTGGGTGAGTGAGTGAGTGGGTGAGTGAGTGAGTGGGTGAGTGAGTCGGTGAGTGAGTAAAAGAGTGAGTGGGTGAGTGAGTGGGTGAATGGGTGGGTGAGTGTGTGAGTGGGTGAGTGAGTAAGAGCGTGAGATGAGTGAGTGTGTGAGTATGAGCGAGGGGGTGAATGGGTGGGTGTGTGAGTAAGAGTGAGTGGGTGATGAAGTGGGTGAGTGAGTCTATGAGTGAGTGGGTGAGTGAGTGGGTGAGTGAGTGTGTGAATGGGTGAGTGAGTGGGCAAATGGGTGAGTGTGTGAGTAAGAGAGTGAATGGTTGAGTGAGTGTGTGAGTGGGTGAGTGAGTGTGTGAGTGGGTGAGTGAGTGTGTGAATGGGTGAGTGAGTGGGCAAATGGGTGAGTGTGTGAGTAAGAGAGTGAATGGTTGAGTGAGTGTGTGAGTGGGTGAGTGAGTGGATAAATGGGTGAGTGTGTGAGTAAGAGAGTGAATGAGTGAGTGGGTGAATGGGTGAGTGTGTGAGTCGGTGAGTGAGTGGGTGAGTGAGTGATTAAGAGATTGAGTGACTGTACTATGTCTAGGGGCAGCTTTAGGGGTAGGGTCAGTTTTAGGGATAGAGTCAATGTTAGGGGTAGTGTTAGTGGTAGTGTTAATGTGAGGGGTAGTGTTAGTGTCTTACCCTCTCTTCCAGGAATAGCTCAGAGGAAGGGTCATTCCTCTTCAGAACCTAACAGGGAAAAATCAGAGGGATCACAATGATGGTGCCACAAAAACTCAACACAGACCCACAGAGTCACACAGACGCACATACTGACACACATACTGACACACAGACTCGCACAGAGACACACAGAGACACACAGACTCACACAGAGACACACAGACTCACACAGAGACATACAGACTCACACTTAGACAACCAGACTCACACAGACTCACAAAGAGACACACAGACACACAAAGTCACAGAGTCACACAGACATACATACTGACACACAGACTGACACACAGACTCACACAGAGACACACAGACTCACAGAGACACACAGACTCACACAGAGACATACAGACTCACACCTAGACACCCAGACTCACACAGACTCACAAAGAGACACACAGACACACAGAGTCACAGAGTCACACAGACACAAATACTGACACACATACAGACTGACACACAGACTCACACAGAGACACACAGACTCACACAGAGACACACAGACTTACACAGAGACATACAGACTCACACAGAGACACACAGACTCACACAGAGACACACAGACTCACACAGACTCACACAGAGACACACAGACTCCCACAGACATATAGACTCACACAGAGACACACAGAGACTCACACAGAGACACATACACTCTCATACAGACACACAAAGACTCACACAGAGACTCACACAGAGACACACACAGAGGCTCACACGGAGACACACACAGAAACTCACACAGACACACACAGAGACACATAGACTCACACACAGACACACAAAGACTCACACAGAGACTCCCACATAGACACACACAGAGACTCACACAGACTCACACAGAGACTCACACAGACACAGACTCTCACACAGAGACACACAGACTCACACACAGACTCACGCAGAGACTCACACAGACTCACACAGAGACTCACACAGAGACACAGAGACACACAGAAACTCACCTGTGAGTGAGAGTTCACGATGGCCGCTCTGTTCTGATAGTCGCGGCTAAAGGCAGCTGTGTCCGGCATCCGCTCGATACACCCGTCAGAGGCTACACACAGCAGCAGCAGCATCATCAGCATCATCATCAGCATCAGCAGCAACATCATCAATCAGCAACAGCATCATCAGCAAGAGTATAACCAGCATCAGCATCATCAGCAACAGCATCATCAGCAACAGCATCATCAGCAACAGTATAATCAGCATCATTAGCAACAGCATCATCAGCAGCAGCATCATCAACAGCAGCAGCATCATCAACAGCAGGAGCATCAGCAGCAGCAGCATCATCATTAATCAGCAGCAGCATCATCAGCAACAGCATCATCAACAGTATAATCAGCAACAGCATCATCAGCAGCATCAACAGCATCATCAGCAGCAGCAGCATCATCAGCATCATCAGCAGCAACAGCATCATCAGCAACATTACACTTTGATGCTGGCAAAAAGGTCCTATGATGTTGCTGCTCACCCGAGCTATGAATGCTCTGATACGTGTGTGGCATTGTATAAATATTATTTTTTATTAAATATTTCTACCTACGTGACTTTACCGAAAGAACCAAAGAGTTTAGTGACATTGTCGTTGTGCTGTCCGCTATATAAGGCGGTGAGCCGGTGGGCTCGGGGTTGAGTGTTTAGCTTAAGCCAGTGAAGAAAGAAGACCGGCTAGATAGGCCATGGGACTCCCCTGGATCGCTGTCCTTATAAGGACCGACCAGGGCAAGCCAGTGGCGTGGCCCCGAGAGCCCAGAGCCGATGCTCTTGTAAGAGCCGGTCTGGTGACTAAGGGTGCCGTGATTCCAGCTTGGCCAGAGCTGGATCAGCTAGCCTCCCCTAGCTCTGTAGTGGAGGACCTGGGAGTAGGCTAGCCGGGATAGAGTTACTGGGATCTCCCTGTTAGACGGGTGAGGGGGCCGATACCCCTTCGAGTGGTGTGTACCTTGGCCTGTATTGAGTGAAACGTTTAATAAATAAGTGTGCCTCCGACTATGTCGTCCACGTCTCATTGAACCTACTACACTGGCATTAAGGTCCCCTTTTGTAGCTGCTCAGCCCGATATATGAATGCTCTGATACGTGTGGGATTGTCCTTGTGCTGTTTCGCCTTTTGGCATTCTCTGGTCTGACACTGGCATTGAGACTCGGCTCTAAAGATGGCTTCCGTCTCTGGTATAGACCAATCACATATCTGCATTTGTCATCAATATGCTAAATTCCTATGTTGATATGTAAACTCCTTTGTCAAGGCGGTCTGCTCCTCGGACCCGGCTTAAAAATACGCTGCCAAGCTTGGCGGTGTTCATTACGATGCTGTCTTTCCAACAGAGCTGTTCTTTACCTGAGGACGGCTGCTTGCGTTGTGGCCGAAACGTCGTGAGAATTTTATCTTATTATGTTTTATTTTTATAATTGTATTATTTCCCTTCTACATGACTTTACCGACAGAACCAAGAATATGAGTCCATGCAGTCACGAAAGCTTTAAATAAACAAAAACAATGCCACATAACACAACAGTTATATTGTTACCCTTTGGTCCTTTCGTTAAAGTCACGAAGAAAGAAAATAACTTTACCGAAAGAACCAAAGAATAATCCTTGCAGTCAAAGGAAACTTCAAATCAAGTTTAGTTACATCGTTATTAAAGACAATGCCATTCAAAATTATTGGAGCAATGTTTTTGTTTGCATGCGCGTTGCGTGGTAAACGCAGTCGCCTGATTCTTTGCTAAAGGTTTCCGTTTGGTGTTTGAACATCTTAACACAAGCTCCTGTTTTATTGGCAGAAATGGTAAAACCACGCCAGAGGTCGCAAACGGGTTTTGATTCCTTACCCGTACCCGTACCCGGCTGCACCAGGGTCGCAAACGGGTACCCGTACCCGTACCCTACCCGATACCCAGCTACCTGTACCCGGCCGGGTATCAGGTAGGGTACGGGTACCCGATTGCGACCTTTGGGATGAAGCCATGTTGCAGGCGCGCGTGGGTTGATTCTAGAAACTTGAATTGTGAGAAGAGACAAGACGTTGGGAAATGAGTGACAAACGGTTACTCACCAGTGACTCACGGCCTACCCGTACCCGGCCGCACCAGGGTTGCAAACGGGTACCCGTATCCGTACCCGGCCGGGTACGGGTAGCCGGGTATCGGGTAGGGTACGGGTATCGGGTACCCGGTTGCGACCTCTGAACCACGCCTATTTCATACTTTTGTAGTGACATCGGGGATGTCACTGTATGGTGCCAGCCTGGGTGGGGGGGCCGTGGCGTGCGATGTCCTTACATCGTGGACAGCACCGTGTGAGTGGCTGTGTGAGGCTGGCTTTAGCATAGCACGGTGTACGATGCACCGTCATCGCGTACACCCCGTAGCTGGGTGTAGTACCAGCCCTAGCGGGGCTTGGTGAGAGCTGGGATAGCGCGAGCACCACGCATGATGTGCAGTGCGGGGCTCCCACAATGGGAATGGGGAGAGTGTCAGCCCATGGACAGGGTTGCCCCGGGCCATGGCACTCTGGTTGACCCCGTAGACACGTGATCCGGAGTGTCCACAGAGAGGGCCCCAGGTGGGAGGGCTAGGGGGTGATCACGTGTCCAGGAAGAGCTCTCAAGAGGGAGTTAGAACGCTCGAGAAGGTGGGCGGGGCCGAGGGTGGAGCCAGCCCCGACCCGGGAGGATAAAAGGTGGGTCCCTGAGAGGGACCCGGGTTGCTTCGTCCTACAAGCTGGAAGCTCAACATCTACAAGCTGGAAGCTCCATGTCTACAAGCTGGAAGCTCCACGTCCTACAAGCTGGAAGCTCTACGTCTACAAGCTGGAAACTCAACTTCTACAAGCTGGAAGTTCCACGTCTACAAGCTGGAAGCTCCACGTCTACAAGCTGGAAGCTCTACGTCTACAAGCTGGAAACTCAACATCTACAAGCTGGAAGTTCCACGTCTACAAGCTGGAAGCTCCACGTCTACAAGCTGGAAGCTCCACGTCTACAAGCTGGAAGCTCTACGTCTACAAGCTGGAAGCTCCACGTCTACAAGCTGGAAGCTCCACGTCTACAAGCTGGAAGCTCCACGTCCTACAAGCTGGAAGCTCAACATCCACAAGCTGGAAGCTCCACGTCTACAAGCTGGAAGCTCCACATCTACAAGCTGGAAGCTCCACATCTACAAGCTGGAAGCTCCACGTCTACAAGCTGGAAGCTCAACATCTACAAGCTGGAAGCTCCATGTCTACAAGCTGGAAGCTCCATGTCTACAAGCTGGAAGCTCCATGTCTACAAGCTGGAAGCTCAACATCTACAAGCTGGAAGCTCCACGTCTAGAAGCTGGAAGCTCCACGTTCTACAAGCTGGAAGCTCCACGTCTACAAGCTGGAAGCTCCACATCTACAAGCTGGAAGCTCAACATCTACAAGCTGGAAGCTCCACGTCTACAAGCTGGAAGCTCCACGTCTACAGGCTGGAAGCTCCACGTTTACAAGCTGGAAGCTCAACATCTACAAGCTGGAAGCTCCACGTCTACAAGCTGGAAGCTCCACGTCTACAGGCTGGAAGCTCCACGTTTACAAGCTGGAAGCTCCACGTCTACAAGCTGGAAGTTCCACGTCTACAGGCTGGAAGCTCCACGTCTACAAGCTGGAAGCTCCACGTCTACAGGCTGGAAGCTCCACGTTCTACAAACTGGAAGCTCCACGTTCTACAAACTGGAAGCTCCACGTCTACAAGCTGGAAGCTCCACGTCTACAAGCTGGAAGCTCCACGTCTACAAGCTGGAAGCTCCACATCTACAAGCTGGAAGCTCCACGTCCTACAAGCTGGAAGTTCTAAATCTACAAGCTGGAAGCTCCACGTCTACAAGCTGGAAGCTCCACGTCTACAAGCTGGAAGCTCCACGTCCACAAGCTGGAAGCTCAACATCTACAAGCTGGAAGCTCCACGTCTACAAGCTGGAAGCTCCACGTCTACAAGCTGGAAGCTCTACGTCTACAAGCTGGAAGCTCCACGTCTACAAGCTGGAAGCTCCACGTCTACAAGCTGGAAGCTCCACATCTACAAGCTGGAAGCTCCACGTCCACAAGCTGGAAGCTCAACATCTACAAGCTGGAAGCTCCACGTCTACAAGCTGGAAGCTCCACGTCTACAAGCTGGAAGCTCTACGTCTACAAGCTGGAAGCTCCACGTCTACAAGCTGGAAGCTCCACGTCTACAAGCTGGAAGCTCCACGTCTACAAGCTGGAAGCTCAACATCCACAAGCTGGAAGCTCCACGTCTACAAGCTGGAAGCTCCACGTCTACAAGCTGGAAGCTCCACGTCTACAAGCTGGAAGCTCAACATCTACAAGCTGGAAGCTCCACGTCTACAAGCTGGAAGCTCCACGTCTACAAGCTGGAAGCTCCACGTCTACAAGCTGGAAGCTCAACATCTACAAGCTGGAAGCTCCACGTCTACAAGCTGGAAGCTCCACGTCTACAAGCTGGAAGCTCTACGTCTACAAGCTGGAAACTCAACATCTACAAGCTGGAAGCTCCACGTCTACAAGCTGGAAGCTCCATGTCTACAAGCTGGAAGCTCCACGTCTACAAGCTGGAAGCTCAACATCTACAAGCTGGAAACTCCACGTCCTACAAGCTGGAAGCTCTACGTCTACAAGCTGGAAGCTCCACGTCTACAAGCTGGAAGCTCCACGTCTACAAGCTGGAAGCTCCACGTCTACAAGCTGGAAGCTCCACGTCTACAAGCTGGAAGCTCCACGTCTACAAGCTGGAAGCTCCACGTCCTACAAGCTGGAAGCTCCACGTCTGAAGAGGCATCAACACGTGGCCGGGGACCCGAGTGAGGGTCCGACCCTTCGTAGCTGTAACTTCTCCGTATGGTGTAGTTAGCTGGGTGGTCAACACCCGAGGCTGTATCTGGTAAAGGGGCAGTTGCCCCTTTGTATAAACGTGCTGCGAATAAATGTGTTGCCTCTGAAGAATAACGTCTGCGACTCGGTTTGACTCACTACACTTTGATACTTGTGGACCGCGTGGCCCCCTTCCTCTGTTCGTTCCCGTTCTGACCACGTGTCGTTCGTCTCCACCCCTATTTAATACCCGGGTCACGTGGTACGCTTCAGCCAATCCTCGTTAGCCTGCATCGAATCTTCCAGGCTCCCTCGTCAGCTGCCGGCACCACGCCCCTGACTCATCTCCCCATTGGCTGAGGCCAAAGCCAGCAGAACCAATCCTCTACTTACAGCTGTCACCTCTCCATCACGTCAGGGCCACGCCCCTAGGCTTCCCCCCATTGGCTGTAAACCAGGACCGGCAGAGCCAATCACCATGACGAGTTGTGATACGTCAGTGAGCCGGATATATCCTCATAGTACACTGGCAACAACAAATAAGTATAACCCGTAAAAACAAAGTGTTTCACTAGAAATCCTTTACATGCGTGGCGGCTAGAGTCCTCTCGTCCTCTGGCTTGAGATGGCTGCCACCTATGGGTCAGATGATTGCATTGCACCATTAAGCAATTGGTAATTAAATATAATATTTTTGTCCTAAAAAGTGTACAAATTTTGAATTTTTTTTTCACGAACATTAATTGTCACGCACAACGAGTCTGTGTGGAAAATGTCAGCTCAATTGGATCACGGGAAGTGGGGTAAAAAACGACCGAAAGATTTGCACGGTCGTAAGCAAGCAAGAAAGCACGCAAGCACGCAAGCAAGCAAGCGAACTTAATATAAAGGATTTAAAAAAGGTCCCGTATCGATGCTGATCCTGGCCATGGTAACGTGGAGTTTACCGGAGAGGCCGCGAGAGCACGGGTTGGGTGGCTCCGGGTATCGCTGGGCTCCGTGGCTCTCTCTGCCTCCCCCCGCGTCTCCGCCCAGAGCCGTCACCACGTTGCTAATGTCGCCCAGGGGACCCAGATGCTGGAGGCCCTCGTAGGCGCCGCCTGGATCACGGCACACGGCCCAGAGACTCCTCAACACTGCACCATAGACTCAGCATTACACCATAGACTCAGCACTGCACCATAGACTCAGCACTGCACCATAGACTCAACATTATCCATAGACTCAGCACTGCCTATAGACTCAGCACTGCACCATAGACTCAGCACTGCACCATAGACTCAGCACTGCCCATAGACTCAACATTATCCATAGACTCAGCACTGCCTATAGACTCAGCACTGCACCATAGACTCAGCACTGCACCATAGACTCAGCACTGCCCATAGACTCACATTATCCATAGACTCAGCATTACACCATACCTCAGCACTGCA